AAAAAATGAATAATTTGCTTCAGAAAAATTGACATTTCTGAAGCGATTTTCTTGAATATCCTTTGGTAAAGATACATGTATCGATCTATTACATTGGTAAGGCTTAGGCATTTGTATGGACTTACCACATCATGTCCAGCCTCAGTGAGTGTATCCGCTATAGCACCCATGAAATTTGTGTGAGAATAACCATAAATGGGTGAGTATACAAGGAACTTATAGCCATAGCAAAGATGTAGGCAAGAAAGAAGTAAAATGCATGTACGCATCTTCTGTAAAGCAACTATTTTATGAAATATAAAAACTAAGATAAATTGTTTTGTTGCGTGAAAAATTTGGGTTGCACTCAAAAGTCACAATTGTATTGACTCGCCTACTTTATTTTTATTCAATTATTACTACTATTCAGATGTGCCGATTGAATCATGAATACGATAATAAAAGGGCAGTAAATATCTGAAAAAAAGTGCTTGAAATTTTTGACATGCCTCGGCTAAATTCAAGACCGAGTGCTGAAAATTTTCATAGAGTTCAGTGGTATGCAGTGCGGGTGGACCAGGTAAATAAAGAGTTCTGGAATAGATAATGTCGACCTGACGCAGAAAAGACTTTCTTATCAGCACTTGTTCTGTAGTAGTGATAGGCATGCATAAATCAGACAAAGAACATTCATTGTCTGTGCCAAGGAAGTAAGTGTGACTTGACATTGTCAGTGGAAGCAGGAGATCTATCCTAATTTATAGCTCATAAATATACTCTCCTATATTTAGCAGTCACTGAAGAATGCTCGCGTTTCCAATAAATGTTAACTTATACCATGGTTTTCTCAGCTGATGCGATGTATTATAAGTCCAACCAGATCAAGGTAAATTGCCTTTCAAAGCCTTCAAACTTATACCAGCTTCCATGCTGTTTTTGCAACAAGTTGACAAAAACTCGGGAAGCAAATTAATCTCGTTGAAATTTGCTTCTGGTACTGGGACTTTTTGGAAAGGTCATCAATAGAAGTACAGCGATCGTCGCAGCAGCTTATGATTTATATGAACTACGAAATACTGTCATTCATAGATTGCAACAGCCTGTTATATTATTGACTGTACTCTCAATTACGGCATATCGGGGCTTCTCACTGGTACCAAATCTGTCTAGAAACACCTCCTAAGGTAGATAGCACAATAT